TACCACTACTGAAAACAAAACACAAGCAGATCAGTATCATCACAGTAAATTTCAATTCTTTCCAGCTGAGAGGAGACAGTCCACACTTGAACTACCAAAATATGAATCAACCAAGTTGGCAAATTTATTTTAGAACCAATGCCAATGATTACAGGACAAGTCAAATAGCTACATTATGGGATGTTTTTTTTCCACAGAAACATAACTTACTCTTCCTCTTTTTTTACGAGCAAAGCACACATGCTAATTTCTGCCAATAAAATACTGCAAACTGCACTGTCGTTTACAATGGTTATAGCATGATAACACAATACTGCAACATGCTGCTCTATAAATAACTTTCATGCAAATTAAAATGTTAGCATGGAGATTTCTTAAGTATGAGTTTTGTTTAGAAAAGGGCCTAGGTCACTAATTTATCTCTGTGAAGCAGCAGTTGCATGACAGTTAATTTTTGGTCAGAATTAACTAACACTGTCATTGAACTACCTCAGAACAACTTCTTAGTGAGGCCCAGGTCCAGAGGCCACTGAGCACCCTGGGGCCACCCACCTATATTTGTCTCTGGCAGAAGGTGTGGCTCAGCCACATGTCAGTTTCCTGCAAAAGCTAAGTTACTTTCAGGTTGAAAACGTAAGTAGGAGTAGGATATGAGGGGTTGGAACTACATGATCCTTGAGGTCCCTTCCAACCCGGGTGATTCTGTGATTCTGTGATATTGGTTCATGAAGACCAGTGCCTCCTTGCATGTCTTGTAAGAGATGTAAAGAGAAAGACAGTAGAAAAGAGGTCTGTGTACATCTTGAAGATGTACCTCTTCTATGAAGAAGAATTAAGCTAGGAGCTAGTATGGTCACTAACAAATTCATCTATAGTAAATAATACAATACAATAACTCATCAAAGCTGGAAGAAATGACTGAACTAGGCTAGAACTAGGACTGCAGCTCAACCCAGCAAATACCCAAACAGAATAAAACTTGGTATCAAATGCATTAAGGAAGCTTATGGATCTTTATTCATATGGAATGTGAAGAGGTTGCTGACCTAGATTAAAAGGCAGCACTAGAAATGAGTTTAGGGATGGGGCTCAGGCCAGCAGATGTTGCTGAGCTGAAGCTTCTTAGAAAGCACCTTCAGGTTAACATGAGAAGTGGTGCTGGATTAGACCATCTGACTGCAGAGATCTGTGAGATCAGGAGCGAGATAATGCTAAGATTAGGAGAATTAGAGTTTGAGCATGATCTGGAAGAGGCTGATGCATCATCTTGTTTCAATATCAGGGAGGGCCACGTGCCATGATAAGATGCCACAACAGGACTCTCCACACCCTTAGCAAGCCTAACACACCTGCCAGGCCCACTCTGCATACATCCTCTGTTGACACAAAGCTATGTGTGTGATGTAAATTTGATGCACTCCAGACCCCTTTAGCCTACTTTGTATGTTCTTGTATAGTGTGTAATAAACCAGAATATATGGATTTCCCATACTACATGTGAACAGGCACTGCCTTTCTTGTGTGCATATGCTGTGGATGAGGACAGGCAAGAATACCCCAAAAACAGAAAGCAGCTGCCTGAAAATATCCAGTCCTTATTGTTTCTATTTCTTCCTTCATTTGCACCAGATCTACCAGGTCTGAAACATACCAAAGTCAAAAAAGTTAAATGTGGCAAATAGAATCTCCTCTCTTCATAGATACAGTCTTTAAAACAGTCAATCAAGTCTACATAGCAGATTGGTCCTGCCAAGGAAATCAAAAGCCAGATCAACCAAACATACAGACATGCATCAGAAAAGCCCATCTATGTCTTCTCCAAAAAAAAGCAGCTTTGCCAGCGCTGACCTTGGCAGAGCCATTAAGAACTCTTTTCTCAATTCTTGGGAATAGATATCCACCACGTTACTCAGAATTTTCCACATCAGGGGCAGGTTCAGGATTAACCTTACCTAGTTTAGATTACAGCAGAACTTGACATATATATTACCTATCTCTGTGTTTTAATCTCAATACTGGCTCACCCACATTAACAATCTACAGGAAAATTCAGATTTAGTGGTAAGAAAGACACTGAAAGTCACAACAAGGATCTGAGACACAAGTCTTATAAGGAGCAGCTAAAGGGACTGGGATTGTTCAGTGTGGAGAAGAGGCTGAGAGACCTCTATGAGTACCTGAAAGGAGGTTGTAGTAGTGAGCTGGGAGTCAGTCTCTTCTCCCAGGTAACTGGTGACAGAAAGGTGGTGAGGCACTGGCACAGGCTGCCCAGGGAAGTGGTGGAGTCAGTGCCCCTGCAGGACTTCAAGAAACAAGCTGATGTTGCACTGAGGGACATGGGTTAATGGGCATGGTGGTGATGGGTTGGTTGATGGTTGGACTTGATAACCTCAGAGGTCTTTTCCACCTTAATGATTCTGCAATTCAATGACACTTTTTGGAGAAAGATGAAACGCATAATCCCATTTCAAGGACAAAATCATGTCCACACCGGAGACTATATACTTAAAAATTTTAAAAATCAGTACAAGTATCATGCAGCCCACCTCCACTATTTTTCAGGCTTGCAATTTGAAGAATGCAGGGTAGGCAAAAATGACTGAAAAATGATGAACAAGCAAACCTGCTTCAGCATTCACTACAAACTGTAGAGGAGAAAGCTTCACAGTGAGTCGTGCTAGGAGAGAATTACAATAATGATGCCTTATGGTCACAAGACCACACACTACTGTTGTGCAACAGTCAGTGGGTAAATTAGGGTGTAGCCTGCAATATGGCTTAGCGCTGGAGGGGAAAAAAAGTCACATCCAAAACATGGCCTTATCCTTGAAAAGGTTTGAAGTCAAGAAAAAAGAATATCGCAAACTTGCACAAATGTAAAAAATGACAAGAATGATAATGCTGTTCTGGTACTGTCAATGAATTAACGACGCAGAGTAATAAAGGCAAGTCACGGAGTTAAGCCTGCAGCAAATAACTTAGGTGAAAGCAACAACAGCAACAAAAGAGAATTCTGAGGGAGCTGAAGTTAGGATGATGTAGAATTGACAGCTGAAATTCATTCAGCTCATTGAACTGATATCACAAAAGCAGTACATTTCCAGAATAAAAAGAAATAGATAAGCAAAAAATAACACAAGTTAAGATGCTGATTTTAAAACACATAAGTATGCAGATACCTCAGGCCAGCGGAGATACACATTAATAAAGCCAAAACAGAAAGTCCAACATTCAGCAGTTCTTGGCTGAAGACTGACCAAACATTTTTTTATGCCCTCTCAGTTCCAGGCAAGTGTACCAGTGTAACTGAAAGATTTCAGAGAAGCTTTTCAAACTTATATTTTCTTACTTGCAGACATTAAGTAAAGAACGTGCAAAATAATTGTGCCTACAAACCTCTCTGCCCTCAGCTTTGCATTACAGGCTCTCTCCCTCTAGTAACTCAGCTTTGATTGTTTCACCACTTCACGGCATTTGTACCAAACAGGGGGAAAGGGGATATATTGATTGCATCTATCCCGTACAGCACGGACATAAAACCATACTGTTTGGAGTAGCTCCTACAGGGGCTTAGCAGATTGCTTCTCCATGCCTTTGCTGCTGCTGGCCATGCACAAGGAAGTCACCTGGCAGCAAGGAGAGAAAAGCAGCCCTCACTTCCTCCTGCTGCCAGGGCATTAGCTCAGAAAGCCTCAGAGACAGGGGGCTTGAAGGTGAGAGTGTGCCATCCAGCCTGGCCACCCCTTCAACCGCTCCCTTCATTGGTCCCTCTGACCTTTATTGCTTCTCTAAGGAGAGAAAAAAGGAGGCTTTACGAATTTAGCATTATTTATGCTTAAGGGAGGAAAGGGAGGTGCCTTGGTCAGGGCAGTACATGTATAGAAGTCACTGTGCTGGGCTGGTAAGTGGATTGCAGTGAAGCATGTAGAGCCCTGTCATGGTGAAAAGCAGGAACAAGGGGATGCAAATCCTCCAGAAAATGGCCAAATGGGAACACGCTGTGAAGTTTACAAGGAGTTGTTGTCAATGCTACTTTTCCAAATTTAAAATTTCCAATTTAAATTTCCAACTTAACTACATGCTCAAAAGCATCTCAAACAAAAGCTATTCCCATTCTAACTTCCTGAGAAATTTCCTCTTTACTATCAGCCCATGAAAAGCACCAAGTTTCGGAGGAGTCTCTTTTCTGCATGCTAATACATCCTTATGTGCTATGCTGGATGTTCTGTTCCAGACTCTTCTGTGAAATGTTAAGCTTCTTATCCTTATGATGAGATATGAGTTGCACTTAAGAACAAGCAACATACAATGTTCAATCTAATTTTAACATGCTTATTAATATCTTTGTCTCGACTAGAGACTCTAAAATTTGTACTGAAGACTATTCTATAGAAAACAGAGGATAAAAAGCTTCTAAATCATTGTTCATGGCAGACCAGATAATACTGAAGAACCTGTTGCAATTAAAATTCCTAAACTGTATTTCTAAATCTCGCAGCTCAGGTCAAGAATCACAATCATAATTATCATCAATGAAGTAGTGTGTATTGACTCACTCCTTACAAATAAGCTACCCTTATAAAAGCAGTCTTCTGCTTCAGTACAGAAGGGAGGCAAAGGAAGAAACTGATGAAGAATCATTAAAGCAGCACTGCACTAATAAAAAGGTGAGAAAATTGAAACAACCTGTGAAGTAACCAAACATACACAAAGTAATAGATGTTACACCAGAAGGCTCAGTATCCAACGCAGAGATGAAATCAGAACGCGATATGAATGGCAGACCCTAAAGTTATCATGGTCTTGCTGTGTCTTACTGTCAAAATGAAATACATGAAATGCACGTCATTTTTGCAAGCAAAGATTCTTTAAAGAACCAGGAAAATCAGAAATCAAAAAAGAAAACAGATAGTATGAAATTGGACAAGAACACAGAAAACAGATGATTTTCTCACTGACAAGGACAGTGGGATACCCATATAATCTGCCTATTAGCGTACCTTCATGACGTCCTTATAGGAATGAATAGCCTCAACTTCCTCTTTGTCATCATCGTCATCATCCTCCACCCCCTCATCCAGCGCATCGTACCCCTCATCTCGACTCCCATCGGTTTCTGTGGTGTTGGTCATGTGATCTATCAGCTGCTCCAATGGAGGACTTAATTCCCGCTCTTCATTGTCCTTCAAGCCATAGTCCAAGGCTTTGTATATAATAATCCCTAGGGATTCAATTACCTGTAAAAATAAACAAGAAATGTTTGTGAACGCCATTCAACACTATTTCCCGGTGTTTGCATAACAAATACAGCAACTGAAAGGATGATCGACATCAAAACCTAAGAGAAAAAAGATCATCTATTACCTTACAGTAGCACTTCAATAATGCAGCACATAACATGCAAGAGCAGATCATACCACATATCTTCTGCTTTCTTATTTCAAAGTCACAATTTAAAAACAAAGCAGGAACCTCTAAGATTATTTTTCCTTTTCACTTCTAAAATGACAAATGTCAGAAGACAGTAGTATAGATTTTTTAAGGTTACATCACATACATATTATCTTCTTCTCTGGAAAGAAGAAATGAGAAGAAGTGAAAAGAAAGAGTAAAGATGCCTTTTTCCTCCCTCAAATGGTGTCTCCTCCAAATACTTGGAAACTGGCCTTCAGTTTCTAATCACTTTATTGACAGGAGAAATGTCTGGATGCAGCTGTGGACATCCCAATATTAACTCATGGAGCACTGTGACATCAGTCCCCAGGAGCTCCTTTGTCTGTTGCACAAGCTCTACTGAGGCTATCAACACCTGAATTTCATAGTAATGAGGTATCATCATGAGTTTTCATTGAATTAAAGATGTTCTTTTTGTGCTCTATCAAGAGCAAAGCAAACAAATGATCCCTCATCCAGTGAAAGATAGCAATAAATTGCCATGAACATCCCAAAATGTTAACTGCCCATTTCCTTTCTTGGCATCAACTATTTTCCTTAAGAATAATGCTGAACGTTGTCTAACATTGCAGAGATGTAACAAGATGACATTTCAAAGTGAGGAGTTTGGAAAAGGGTTTTAATGGAGAGGGAAGGGGAAATGGGCTTGCAAGAATAAACCACAATAAGGTAATAGTAGATGCTGGGAGATCCTTGTCTGACAAGGAAAGGACTGGAGCTATTGCATGTAATCTCTAATCTTTCCTGTGTGTTGTGATGGCCAGTGTGTCACACAAATGAGCAGTGCAGGAGTGGTTGGCACTAGGGCAACTTTAATAACAGAAGTATTTCTAAGCATAACAAACCCTGTCATCAAATGTCATTTTCAACCTGTCATCAAATGTCATCAGGCTTTCAGTACTATCCTGGTCAACATTTTTAAAGCAGATTTTTCAAAGTCATTTTGAGTAAATTGGGCTACACATTTGGATTCTTAAAATGTTAAAATTGACTCTCTAGCAATTCACTTGTTGTTACACTGCAAGTCATTTTTTGTCTGAGCAGTTGGAGGCCAGCAAAGACATAGAAAGGCCTACTAGACAACTTTGTGGAGCAGCTGTACACATGCATAATACTTCTTTTCTCTGCTGAGATCTCTGCCGCGCTAATTCATTTTGCAAGTCAGTGGTTAATAAACAAATATAAATTACAATAAATAAAAAAAAAACCCTTTAGAACCTATTACTAATAACTGAATTCAAAATGAATAATTTTCCTGTACTGTTTTCTTGAAATGTGTTTGCACTTATTTGAAAAATATTCCTGAAATACAATTCAGGAAAGTGATCAGGCAAATGAATGAACACAAATTTGATTTAGTTACATGCTTTGATTTAGTTATTTCAAAGAACAGATTCTGGGTCAGAAAATGCTGATGTGACAGCCAAGCACAACGAGGAAGCATCACTGTATGCCTGCTCCATTCTCACAGTTCCCAGCCATCTGCTGTGACTCTGGAAACTGGACACTGCATGGTTAAAGTCAGTAAAAGCGCTGTAACAGATTAAAATTTATATTTGTAACATATCTGGTTTGCCTCTTCAATACGGTATTTTGCAGTAGCTGCCTTGCAAGACTTGCACTGTAATAAAAAATCTGAACAAATGAAGATTACATAAAGTAAAATACATTTTATTGGTACTCAGGTATGTTTCCTCTAACTCTGGTTCTCAGTGCAATCTCAACATAAATTCCTTCAGCAACTGAATGGGAACAGAAGAATTACCAGTCACTTCCAACCTGAAGTGGACCTAAACGAAAACAAAGTACAACTGAATACTCGTTTTGATAATTAAAACACCTGGGATTAAGCCCAGTATAAATGATTGCTGATTTTAATAAAAGTAAATTTGAAAGAGCTTAACATTCATGAAGAGGACTGAAATGCCTAAATTAGATGCAAATAATGTAATGTCATGTAGTGATAACTGCAGAACACATATTCTGGATTTTGCTATGCCAACACTTGGGAAAAAAAAATAAAAGGGGGAGTATAAAGAAAGTGCACACTCCTTGCCTCTTTCTGTTTGGGAACATTGGGAACAGGATTAAGGCATTCAGGAGCACCACAGCTAAAGCTGGATGACAGCTGCTGCATTCTTTGATGTGCCAGCAGTGGGGTTTTTGCAGTTCAGTAATACGGCTTGCGCATTTTTACGTGAATTTTTACCATGAACAGATTTCCTAATGCATGCAAAGCTGACAAAACATGAAAGCCTGAAGCAGCACCAATTCAGACCCAGATTTCAGTCTTTCAGCTTCTTATTTAGAAGTCATGATCAAAACTGTGTTTATCTATGTCTGTCAGTACCACAGGTTCACCGTGCCAAGAGACAAAAAGCACTGAGCTTCTTAACTGAGAAACTTTCTCTGACTTGCATTAAAACTGAGAACATTCCGCACTCTGAGTGATACTGGTTTAATCAAGGCTCCTGTAAAACCACAAGTGCCATACGAATATCAAACAGAAGTCCTAGAACCACCCAAGCCTCCTACCTGAGCAAAATTACTAATGCCACTTTACACACAAAAAAACCTTTCACATTTATGTAACTAGAACCACAATATATAAAGTTAAACAGATCATTCTTTACTTACAACATAAATCAAATACAAGCAAAAAAGGAAAATATTTTCATGGTTGAATGGATAAATCAATAAATATGTGGTTAACTGAGCTGGATAAACAGGGACTAATACAGTATGGTTAAAATAGCATCACCTATTTTAAAAGAAATCAATTCTGCATTGCACTGATTGTTAATTGAACATGAAATAAATACTTCTGGCACCTAACAAGTGACAAGTGCTGACACAGTTTTGATTTTTATCCATGAATGCAGAGTTATAGGAGGGGGAAAAAGAGTATAAGGAACTTAGCAAAGCGCTGTTTTAAATCAGAGTTGTACATTAACACATCAAAACAAGTACATGCCATTGAAACGACTGCCAGTACCAATGATAAACAACGCTGCTTGATTCAGATTAAAAAATATATAAATCAAGTTCTGCACCTCGAGTTTTTAAATCATTTGCTCCTGGCTGATTTAAATTTTGGCAAAGGACCTGATCTCTCAAATCAGTCAGTAGCTAAATAATTTTAAGAAAATAAACAAGGAAGCTTGCACTGTTTTGCTTTACACCTTCTCCCCAAGTTCTTTTGAAAGTCATGGCTTCAGACCAAAAAAAGCCAACAACAAACACCAAGCATTTCCCACAGACTGAGCTTGCACTCTTACGCTTAAATCATTAGCGAAAGGTGAATTTTGTCTCAGTGTGAGTATTCTTTCAGTTCCTACACCAGCCTGGACTTGTATTATACTGTTATTTTATAACAGGTTGCAATAAGCTTGCGAGAGACTTTGCAGAATGTACTGACTTTACACATGGTGTCCCTGTGTTCCTTTTACACACACTAAAAACAAATCCCAAACCATTCATGTCTTTTTCATAAACAAACACCCAATGGAACTTTCCATTCTGCATACATTCCTCCAATACATTAAGGCACGCCTCTCACAAAGGGGGTCATTACTTCCCAGGTCTTTTATAGGGCATAAGTCTAGTTCTTGCTGTGAATGCTGCCAATTTCACATTCCTAAAAATCTTCAAATATTCAGACTCTGTATAGGAGTAAAACATCCTAGACAGTGAAATCACTTCATTTCACTTCTTTAAAAAAATAATGAAATTGAGAAGAATCCTTTTCCCCTCTACCATAGATGTTTCTGACCCTTTCTGAAACTTGGGCAAGAGACAGGATCTGCATGCCATTCCCCCCTCCACTCACTGCACACACAATAGGGCACTGTCTAAGCTTTCATCCCCTTCCTAGGGTTTGCTTCAGTTCTTAAACAAAGCAACAAAGCCTAAGGACAAGCTGATACTTAGAGCAGCAAAAGGCTTTTTTCAGCTCAAATTCCTGTCCATGCCTGAAGTTCAAGTTCTCCCTTCCTCCAAAAACCACATCGGTTTTACAGCCCTAAATTGGGATTTAAAAGGCCATAGACCTCCAGCTCCTAAGGTGAGTGACTTAGAGCTTTCCTGTGGGGACCTTGAACACAGTAACTAGTAATGATACTACTTGCATTACTACTGCAGTGTATTTCATGAATTCTATTTTTTCTTAATTAAAAAAAATCACAATTATTAAATGCTCACTAGCAGATCTCCAACATATTTATGACAGAGAATACCCTGCCTTATGGTAAGAGAGCTGAGAACCTGAGGACAACCTGTAGATACCCACCCACCCTATCAGCATGCCAGGAGCTCCACGCCGCACTTCAGGTATTGCTGCACAGACTTACTTATAGACACCTCTGAAATCAAGGGTAATATTCTGCTGCACATTAGGATATGCACAAGTTTTTGTTGTAAAATTCTGTGATACAATTCAATAGACAGATGTGTTCAAATCTTACAAATGTTTGTCTCCAGCTAGATAGAGCAGAGCAAGCTACTGCCCTGACTGCCACTGCCCTTTGTAGCAAAGGAATTTGCTTGTTTCTTCAGCATCTAATTCTATCACTGAGGGACCTCACTTCCAGGAAGGGTGAGCAAACAGCCTGGTTAGGATAAACCCTGGTACACATTTTGGTTATTTGCCTCATCATCAGACGTCCTACATAACTCTCAAGGGTACAACTCAGCAGGCTGTTGTCACAGACTTGCTACTGTTACCACAGACTGCAGGTACACCAATGTCAATTCTACCAGAGCATTCCTTGGCATTAACAGGCCA